GGATCCCATTTCATGTGTTGAGGATGCTCCTCCTCTCGCACGAGCCCTTCTGGGACAGCTCTGTACCAAGACACTGTAGTCTTCTAAAGTCTAAATATTCATCTGGGGGGCATCCCGACAGCCAACAATTCCAGACAAAGTTGGAAATATGGACCTCAGCTCTTGAAAGCTTGGCATGGTGGCAGCCATGCATGAAGGCAAAAGTTATTCTGCAGACCATCAAACAATAGCGGCCACAACAGCATGGACATTTCAAATGAAAAAAAAAGCCCTTGGAGGAAGACTCCTAAAATCTAACTTGCAATGCTCATGGGAAGCTGTCTCAGAAGAGGGTACGCGGTACCCTGAGGGCTCGTTGCATGGCTGCTGTAGGGGACTCATTTTAGCTCTGCAATATGGATTCGTTAAAGGTAATTATCAAGGTACCAATTCCCGCCTGCATAAGCGCCTGGCGGAGAGCATCAAGGTTTTTGGTAGACATTTGGTGCTTCACGGACGCCTCATCCTCAGCATCAGGCATGAAAACTAAGTGACCAGAAGATACATGTGGATAATCCTTCTCATACCTATATAACCAGCAGGCGCAAATAATCTTGCTCGAAAGTGGGGGGATTATAGTATCCACGTTGAAGTACTACTCACTTAGTGCCTGATGATTTAGAAGCCTGCGAAATCCTCGTGCCAGGCTTCCCCTGCTTCTAATAAGAACTTACTAGCCCCTATATGACTGCTCTATATATGCCCAATATAACCCTATGTTACCCTTGATTCCGCGCAGAAGCACTCCCAGCATTCTCAAACGCGCAAAGAGGACCATCACAAATCGACACTGAAATAAAAAGGCTGAGGGCTTAGCGCTGAGGAGCAGAAACTGCTCTCAGGACACAAGTTCAGTCACGGCTCGGTGGATGCTGTTGGCTGGGCCTTTACAACAGTCTGAGCCCACTCGATCATCTCCTTCGCATGCAACTGGGCTATAAAACCCCTATATACTATAGCAGCTTCCATGTTCTTTCCCATTCTCCCTATATAACCCCAATATACAGTAGTAGTTATCCTCAAAAAGCTTCTGGGTCCTCTTCCTTAGAACAGCAACTACATTGCAGCCCCTGGCTGGACATGTCAAGGCTTCCAGGAAATGAGTCGCAAGAATAAGGGTTTAGGGTTTAGGGGGGTTACCATAATGGCCTATAATGGAG